AAAACATCCAATAGATCACTGACACATGTGAATTACACCCCTGAGCTCTCACGTATGAAAAAAGTGGATGAGGTGCACAGCACCCTTCAGTGAGGAGTCGGAAGGATGCTCTTCCGTATCCTCCGTGGCACGTGTGGGTTCAACGGAGAAGGGCCGAGGTTTCTGGGTGGTGCGAGTAGGAGACAACCGAGGAAGGGAGGTGGCTGCCTTTTCAGGGGGATGAGAGAGCAAAGGAAGGGAGAGATGAGAAGGAAGTGCTGTAGGATCCACTCGGACTTTCTCTCGCCGTCCAGAGAGAGCCTGGGCAATCTCACAATGTATGTTCGCAAGCCCTGCTCTTGTCCTCGGGCACCTGCTCCGCGTCTACACGGTGGCTTCCCCAGCCTTCCCCCAGTCTTGACTCTTACCCCCACGCCTCAACTCAAGCGGTGGTTCTTCTAGAACGCCTTCCTTAGCCCCTTGGGCTAGAAGACACGAGCCACATGTTCACGTGGTACATACTCCTTCCTCACAGCCCTTCACAGTTTGCAATCCTGCTTTCCATTTTTGTGACGAACGGCCACCTCCCCCGTTTGAGCCCAAGTTCATTGGGAGCCAGGACCACATTTATTTTCTTGCGGTTGTATCCCCATCTGATAGCTCGGTATCTGGCCCGTATCCCGTGCTCCATACATTTCTATTGGACGAGTTAATGAGAAGTGAAAACGGGCTCTTTTTCCCAGCCAACTGGCATTATCATCACGTGAGCAAGGTGACCAAGTACAGGCGCTGTCTTTATTTCCATACCCTCTGATTCTTTCAGTCCGGTTTCCCTTGTCAAATGTGCTCTCATCATTTGAAGTGCCCCTCCTGCTTCAGGTTTCTCGGAGGCCTTTACCTCTTCTGCCCCAAATTCAGAGGCTGATAATGAAAAACTGGACAAGAGTCCATTTCCCATGGGGAAAAGGAGAAGCGGGAGTAACAATGCAGGTGGTTCTGAAAGAGGCAAGTGGGTGAGATCCTACTGGAAATCTCCAAGACAAAGGGAGGATGCATACTCCAGAGTGCTAATAACACTCAGAGGGAAGATTCCAGAGCGAGTGAGGCTTTTTTTTTTTTTTTTTTTTTTTTACTGTTGAAATATCGGTTTGCTCGGTGTTCTTTTTGGAGGGGAACCTTAACACTAGCTTGAGGAAGCATGTCTTGAGCACCCGTTAAGCCACAAAGGCTGTTGTGCGGAACCAGGGGCTGACGGATTTGGAACGTCTGATCAGCCTGTCACCTTTAAGCCCAGTGGGTTGGGCTCTTGGGTTTTTTGTTTCGTTTTTTAACCATTGCCCAGCTTATGAGTCATTGTTTCTACTTGCTTTAGAAATAGTCATTCTCGACTTTTCCTTTTCCAGGCTGAATGTGTGGTGGCTCTTTATACAACCTTCCAGTGTTTTATCTACTTAGTGAACATTAATACATATTTGTTTCAAACAACAATTAACATATAAAGCAGAAAATAAACATGTTTCTGTTATTCAGATATCCTTTTCCTATATTCTTTTATAATGTTAATGCAGATACAAATCTATTATTATTATTATTATCATTACAAACATTGTAACACCAAACACATTGTTCTGAAATTAACTCTTTTTTTTTTTTAATATTTTTTTCAACGTTTATTTATTTTTGGGACAGAGAGAGACAGAGCATGAACGGGGGAGGGGCAGAGAGAGAGGGAGACACAGAATGGGAAACAGGCTCCAGGCTCTGAGCCATCAGCCCAGAGCCCGACGCGGGGCTCGAACTCACGAACCGCGAGATCGTGACCCGGCTGAAGTCGGACGCTTAACCGACTGCGACACCCAGGCGCCCCTGAAATTAACTCTTTTTATCTTCACAGGTATTTTCACAATTTCTTGGCTGCTTTTATGGGTAACCTTATTCTGGTTGGCACAGGCCAGGTAATCCGTTCCAGACAGTATTAGATGCTTTTCCTAGAAGTGACAGTGTCCTTCCCTTTAATATGAAGTGCTGATAAACATTTTTGAATATGTAACTTTGTCCAGCCAACAAGCCTGTCTACCTCCTCTTTATCCGTCTGGAAAGCAATGTGCTTTTGGGGGGCTTCTGGGGGGCTCAGTTAAGCATCTGATTCTTGATTCTGACTCAGGTCATGATCTCACCAGTGTTGAGTTCGAGCCCCACATCCAGCTCTATGCTGACAGCGTGGAGCCTGCTTGGGATTCTCTCTGCCCCTACCCTGTTCCTGTGCTCTCTCTCTCTCTCTCTGTCTCTGTCTCTCTCACAATAAACAAACAAACAAACAAACAAACAAACATTTAAAAAAAAACCAGCAATGTGCTTGTTGAACACTAGCTGAAGTCACAGCAAAGGAAATCTTTTATTGAATAGTTACCACTGGCTCTTTGCATATGGAAAGCCAAGAATCATTCGTTTGTTTGTCTGCTTTTTCATCAGACAGTTAGCTGGTTTCTAAGAAGTGTTGTGTGCCTAAACACAGTGGTAAAATACACAGAAAGACGCCTCTGCTCCTAGGGGTAAGAGAGAAACAGTAACAAACAAAAAAAGATAGAGAATTCTTGTGAAGACAAGATGAAACCATCCACGGGAAATTAAAGGAAGGTTTTCCAAAAGAAAGGAACGGTAGGGTAAAGTCTTTGAGGGGAAATAAACATGACGCATTGAAGGGATAGGGCTGGCATACCATGTGCTCTGCAGAAGCGGTATGAGGTGGGACCTGGGAAGGAGCAAGGGCTAAATCACATAAGGTCTTAATAGGTTATGGGAAGGAGTTGATAGTTTATTCCCATGTTATGGGAAGCCAATGAAGGCTTTAACCAGAGGAGCGACGGTATTGAATGTAGGTTTTAGAAACAATCTCTGTGTTGCTGGGTTGGAGTTATGTGCGGTGGATGGGAGGTCAGCAGGTTGGTGCTGGTGTGCAGGCGAGTCAGCCTCCACAGAGGGCTCCATACACCCAGGCAGTGCAGCTCTGAGGGTCAGAAATAAGTGCCCAAGGGACCCAAAGGGGTAGCAGCCGCCATCCCGGACAGGCTGAAATCAACCAGGTAAAAGAGAACCAGGAAACAGAAGACAAAGCAACATCAAAGAGCCAAGAGCCAACATTGCAGAGGATGGGACCCTCCAGGCGGCTGAGTCATTAGGGTCAAAGTACCAAAGCGAGCACGAGTAGGATATTGACTTAACAGAGGTCTCTGACCTTCACTGGTCTTTAATCTCCCGGCAGCAAAGACCCTTGAGGTCGTCCCCCCCTCTTCGACGCATCTCTCTGGGCTTAAAGAAACAAAGCAGGGATTCACAGTGATCTCTGGCCTCTCTGAGGCAGGAAATAATATTCATAAATCTGAGATATCTATGTTTTCTGGCCAGACTGAAGGTCAGCGCTGGGGTTACATCTTCAAAAGTCTTCCTGGGTCAACCTCATGCTGTTTCCAACGGGGCATCCGACATCTGTACTTCATTGGCTCGACTATCTTGGCACTCGTGCTATGAGCCTGGCACCTGGAAACTTGGGTGAAGGACCCAAGGAGGGCAGAAATAGAGGAACTGCCGCTCCTTATGGGAAAAGCTTAGTTATTCATCCACGTCCCACTCCTGGAACTAGTAACACAATGGCTCAGGATACTTGTGCAGTGATGCCCAGGAGACGTTTTTTTGAGCGCATTTTCCCAATCTTATATACAACACACTATAAAATTATGCACACGTGTCTGTGTGTGTAAACATAGGTGTGTGCCTAGGAGTGTCTGTAAGCAGCGTTGGGGAAGAGGACTTTCATATTTTGCTTTCTGTAAGTTTGTATTAGGTTGTACCCTGGGAACCTGTCAAGGTCTGTAGGTAGAAAGTGACTCAGGATTGGCAATTTCATATGGTTAATCTGAGCAAAGTTAAAGTTTTGGAGAGGCGGTGGAGGGAGGTTGCTAAAATGACGGGTTCTGGAACCAGGGAGAAGGACCTCGAGAGCCAGTTGGGCTTCTCCCCATCTGTTTCACCTTGGGCAAGTTCCATCACATCTTTGTGCCTCAATTTGTTCATTTGAAAAATGGGTATATTAAGAGTACTTTGCTCAGAGTGCTGCTGTGTGAATTACACCAGCTACATGTTAGTACTTAGAGCCGCAAACCTTTAATAGGTGGTAATGACTGCTTTCTCAAAGAGCCTATTAGCTTTGAAAACAACTGAAAAAAAAGAAAAACAAACCTGTCTTTAAAAAAAAAAAAAAAAAAAGGAAAGGATTTGTCCAGAGTATCCTCGAGGAACTCTTTCCTTCTAGTGATGAGAGAAAATTCCAGGTGGGTCTTCTGATAATTGCCTGCGGTGTAGGAAATGCTTCTGGAACCCTTGGCAGTGCTTGGTGGCAGGACGGTGCTCTGGGCGGGCTGCCGGAAGCCCTCCACTGCCTAAATTCCCTCAGGCTTTTCTCAGGCGAGTTGCCCCCCCTCCTTCCACGTTATCTATTTACATAGCATTTTTCTGCCCTTTTAATCATATCACCAACATCTTTGTAAAGTCATGCATTCTTGTCCCCTTTTTCATCTCTGGGCGCTGCTCTAAATATAACCGAGGAAACAAAACAATGCAGTTCCACAAACAAAGGAGACCCGGCTGGGCAAGCAGGACCCTTTAGTAGGGCTTGACTCCACTGACATTTCTTGTCTCTTCACGTGTTATAAAATAGCCCGTGGCTCTCACAATGGAAAGGGAGGGAGCCCTGATCGAATGGTCTGCGCTACTTTAAAAGGGAATTAAAAGCGTTGCAAAGGTTGCACTAAACCGCCTTAGGCAAGGATATTCCAGAACAAAGTTGCCTGGGTGGTTTCCAGTCTGAATGCACAGGTTCTGAGTCTGCAGTGACTCACCTGCTCACGGAAGAATCACTCTCCTGGCTAATTGCTTAATCGGTCAGCCATTTGCTTCCCCCCCCCCCCCCCCCCGGGTGGAAGGAGTAACAGGACCATGTTTTCAGGGCTGGGAATGGGGAAGAGTGGAAAGGTAATTAGAGGTATTTGGAGACGAGTGTACAAGCGAGAAATGGAACTTAACAAAGAGGGTTGAAGCACTAAAATCTGTGTAATTTTCCATAGAATCACTAAAAGCGATCACAATAAAAACATTTATTCTATTTAGAATAGCTGAAAACAACAACGATAATGTTTACTAAGTGCCTACTATGATGTGCCAAACACTGTTGGAGGCAGGAGTTGACAGCGGCAAACAGGACAGCAGAGCCCCGCCCACCTGGTCTTCCGTTCTCGTGGTGGTGAAAGTAAAAAAAAAAAAAAAACAAAAACAAACCAAAAAACCAATACAAATAAATGAATAATTACGATCAATTCAGCTTCTGCAAATCCTATGGAGGAAACAATTGGAGGAGAAGGGGGTGGGGCGGCGCATTAGAGGTTAACTGAAGGTCAGGGAAGATCTCTTCAGGAGGTGACATTTGAGCTGAGACCTGGGGGGGTGAGCCAGCAGAGGAAAAGCCAGGGCCAGCTTGCCAAGTCCCTAAGAGATCAAATGGCTTGTAAGAGGAAGCCAATGGGAAAGAGGAAGGAGCCCGGCCAGCGGCTAACGCAGGCCATTGCATAGCTTACTAGCAGCTTCCCGATTCTCAGAATGAGAAAGGAATTTGTACAAAACCCAAGGCCGACAAGGACCATTTGCTTGCTTTAGATCACCCAAGTCTTGGGCAGCAAAGGTAAGGTGAGAACCCAAGCCTTCCAAATTGCCGGCAAAGGACCTTGTTTCTGTATTGTCAGAGTGGAGCATGTTGAACACCTATGGTCTATATCGGCAGCTTGTTTCCAGTTGTGCCTGTGTAACTTTTCCAGTACACTGGCCTTGGAATAATTTGGGGTTCAAGAACTGACCAACCCCAACTCTACCTCGTCCTGGATCCTCAATGCATCATTTATCTTTCCTGGGTCTCATCTATAGAATGGATTGCTGTTCTACACAGGTCATCAGGCAGCGTTTAGACCAGTACCCAGCACCGAGAAAACATGTAAAATGTTGACTATCATCACCATTGTTATCATTATTATTTTGTCAATATCTTCTCTGCCACTGTATTAGCGGTCTCCATTATAACAGATTGTAGTGTACATCATTTTACATTTCATCTACCAATGTACAAGGGACTAGAGCCTAACAAATGACTTTATGATTCAAACATTTGCCCATTCATCACAGCACCAGCTATAGATCAAGTATGGTACCGGGTTTAAGGAAAACAAAAAAATTTTAAAGTGATGATTGATCAGTTGGGTCAGGCTCATTGCCAGAGCCCCGGATCTGTGATGTATTGACTATGTGAAACCAGCACGTTACTTAACTTCTCAGGGTCTCAGGATTCACATCTGAACAAGGGGGATAACTAGCCCACGGCACGGTTCCGATGACACACATGGAATGGTGCGACTCCCGGAGGCACTGACTCTGGAGCCCACGGTACAGACACAGCTCCAGACTGTCAGTTCCTGTCGGCCTCAGCCTTCAGGATGCAATAAGTTGAGGAGGTACGAACAACAGCTAAAGAATTTAAGAAGGTTCATTGTCTGTCAAGCATAGTGTGGATGCTAATTCCTGGAAAGGATCTCACAGAGATTCTGGGGCTGGTTCTGAACGAATGGATGGGGACTTTTGGGATAGATGGTGGGGAGGCACCCCAGAGAGCAAAAACAGCCCGTATGAAGGCATGGAAGCTTGACACAAAACAGTTTATCGGGGAAATGCTAACTAACCCGAGACAGCTGTTTTGTGCATCGGAGGCTAGGATAACGGATATTGAGAAGAAAAGCAGAAAAGATCGTAATTCCTTCCTAAAGAATATGTTCCCCCTTCTTCTCGCACTCCCCACATTGTCCTGCAGCAGAATCCAGAGCGCTGTCCAAAAAGATGTCTAACGTCTTCCCCCTCCCTCTACCTATCGCGTCTATCTTCCTACCTTTCCTTTCTGGCAACCGCCAGTCCGTTCTCTGTATTTATGAGCCTGTTTCCAGTTTTTCTGTTTGTTTTGTTATTTAGATTCCACATGTAAGTGAAATCATACAATATCTGTC